AACCATCGCTGGTAAGCCAATTTTCCTTCAGTTTTGAAGTCAACGGTCACCTACCCATCGATGGGTGGGAGGTTGACTTCCAAACAAGGAAAGGATCAACCTTTAATGACCACCAACGGTCATGCCTTCCCATCGATGGTATACCCTTACCATCGCTGGGTTCCCATCGATGGGATACGTTTCCCATCGCTGGGCAAGGTCGTTCTGCCTTGTGTTAATTTTGCACCAAGGCTTTAACAGCGATGGGTAGAACTCCCCATCGCTGTTTGGCATGGTTCTGGAAACTGGTTTGGCTGAGGGGCCGCTTACCCATCGATGGGAAGATCTTCCCATCGCTGGGTGGGTGGTTAGTCAAGAACCCATGGTTTTTGCCTTAACCACGGCCTAGCCAACCGATGCGAAACTCGACTGAAAAATTCAAAGTTCTCCAAAATAAAAACCAAGTGTTTAAAACACTTATTTGATGTATTTGGCTAAGAAATCAAGTAAGACACTTTAAAAACCACGTCATTTGAGTGAAAACCACGGCTAGCCAAGTTTATGTCGTTTTGAATGATTTTTGTCAAACAACCAAAAGCGAAAGATGGTTTTCAAGGTGTTTTTGTTGGAGAACCGTTTAAACATGCCAAAGAGTGAAAACCAATCATAAAAAGTTGAAAACCACTTGGTTGGTTCGGACGCCAAAAACTATAGCCGATAACCGAGAGCCGAACGCCGGTTTCTGGAAAACCAAACGCTGGATGGCTTGGTTTTTGGTTTGGGCGAACACCAAGTGTTTTTAATGACTTAAACATGTTTAAAAAACATTTTTATGATTTAAGAAATGCAATGAAAGATTTTAGCCTAAAGAGCAAAGGTGTAAAGATTGGGTCGGTCTTGATCACAATGAAGACTGACTCACGACACTAAAACTAAGGTCTTCGTTCTTGGTCTTCTTTTAGCTCTTGTTCTTGTCTTCCTTCTTCGCCTTGTATATTCAAAGTTTGACTTGATCACGGCGGTTTGGCATTATCAAAACCTGTCATAAGAACAAACACGGCTTTAGTACGAGAACGTGACATGCCCGTGTTTCAACAATTTCCCCCCTTTTTGATAATGGCAAACGAGATGAGGTTATGCATATGAGGAAGACTTAGAGACTTAAAAAAAATGTTCCCCCTTAATAGTTTCCATTTTATTTTAAAAACAATTCCCCCTCAATTTATGCATAACCTTGATATCTTCCCCCTTTTGACATTAACAAAAAGAATTAAAAGTGAACTTTAGAGTTTAAAAGTGAACTTTTATTCATTAAAGAAGGAGAGAATGCGGAATACAACGGAATGGAAATAATAATAAAAAGGACAATCATAGTAAAAAAAGGAAGAGTCTAGGCAGCGGCGTCCTCGTCCTCGGCGTCATCGTCTTCTTCGTCGTCCTCAACGTCCATGGGATCCCCGTCGACCGCGTCCTCAAAATCGGCCTCGTCAGGGGAGGAAGATGGAGCATAGGAGTCATCCTCCTCGTCCTCGCCTTCATAGTTCTGGCCGAGGATGGTGCTGTCAAAGGGCGGCGGGACATAGTTGATGCCGCGGAAGAATGCTGTCATGTCATGGTGTTGACGTTGCAGCGTCCAATCCATCCGCTCGATTGACTGCCCCATGCCATCCACTGCGAGGGTTAGACGATTCAGAGTATCGGCTATGGACTGTAAGGACGCCTTGGCGGGAGCGGGGGCAGGGGCACGACTCGGTCCAGCGCCGGTTCCGTCACCGGACTTCTTCCGGAAGGTGCTGTCTTGGATGATCCAAATCTTTGCCATCTTCGTGTTCGGGCCGGCGATGTGGATTTCGGCCGCGACAATGAGATCCATGACGAGGAAGGCGTAGGGCAAGCTCCTTTCGGTGGCGATTGAGGCGCAATCCGCCATGTGGATCATGACGTATTTCGCCCAATTGATCGAGGCGCCATGGGTGATTGCATGAACGGCCTTGAGATCCTCGTTGAAGAGACACGTGTGGCTGCCGTCCCGGGGGCGAAGAATCCGAGTGAGGATGTAGAGTAGAAGGCGCTTCTCCGGCGGGGCTGAGTGAATGGTTGGTGCGCCGCTGTGACGGACGAGGTTGGTGATTCCAAGCTCTCGGATGACCACCGCCTCGTTGTTGAGGATCCAATCATCGCCACCATAAGTCGCGATGTCGTCACCGCGAGTGGGCAAACCTGCGATCCGGGCAAAGATAGCCAAATCAAACTCGAAGTCCACGAGATTGATGCTGCTGCGAATAGTGTCCCCGTCCCGGCGGAGATTGGAGTAGAATGCCCGAACGTAGGCGGGATTAAAGGAGGTGCGACTGCGGGAGACGAAAGGCCACAGACCCGACTCCTTGAGTTGATTGTCAAGGTCGTGGTAACCCTTTTGTTGAGGGTATAGCTCGGGTAGCACTCTTGGCGGAGAGATGGGGCGTTTGGCGAAGTAGGTGATGAAGCGTGTGAGTTCCTCTTCTGACCCGAACTCCAAAAAGGAACCGTCGAGATATGGGAAGGGTTGAGGTGCGGATGACGTAGCCTCAGTGGTGACCTTCTTCTTCGAAGCCTTTGTCTTCTTTCCTCCAGCCATGATTGAAGCAAAAGGGAAAAATTTATGAAGAAAAAGGGATGAACTATGCAAAGATAGACTAGAGGAATGGAATATGGATGTAGATTGTGATTAGAAGTGACCAAATAAGGTGCATATATATAGGGAAGGAGTGGAAACCGAAAAGTGTTCAAAAAATATGACTGTTGGGCATTTAATTCGTTGCCCAACGGTTATAATTTTTTTTGAATTTTGGCAGGCTCCCATCGATGGTATGATCTAACCATCGATGGGATGATCATCACTGGAAAGCACGGAAGAAATTAAGGCTGCCTTCCCATCGATGGTCAAACTCACCCATCGATGGGAGGGTGGCTACTGGAAATCCGTTAAAACGTTTTTAAAAAAAGAAGTGTCAAACACCCAGCGATGGGAAAAACTTCCCATCGATGGGAGGGGAGGTTCTGGAAAAAAGTGTTTTTGACAAAAGTCCTTTACCTAGCGATGGGATGAAGTACCCATCGATGGGTAGGGTGTTTCTGGAAATACGTTAAAAGGTTTTTTTAAAAAAAGAGTCAATTACCCATCGATGGGAAGAAACACCCATCGATGGGAAGAGGGGTTCTGAAAATAGCACTTCCCTCCTAGCGATGGTACAATCCACCCATCGCTGGTTCCCCCTGATTTCTAGAATTCTTCACTTCGAACCGTCCCTGCAAAAAAGAGTTAGAAAACCCTCCGACGCTCAAGTTAGTAAATGTTCCAGTAACTATAAAAGAATGATAAAATGCACAAATTAGATCATCGTGGAGTCAAGGATTCTGAGTTCATTACGAATGCGGAAGAACGACTCTTTCTCTAAAGGTTTTGTGAAAATGTCGGCTAATTGGTTGTGTGTTTCAACAAACTCAATTTCGACATCACCTTTGAGAACATGATCTCTAATGAAATGGTGCCTAATGTCAATGTGTTTCGTCCTTGAATGAAGAACGGGATTCTTCGTCAAGCTAATGGCGCTAGTATTGTCACAACGAAGAGGAACGTGACTGATACTAAGGCCATAGTCCACGAGTTGTTGCTTCATCCAAAGGATTTGAGCACAACAACTGCCTGCGGCTACATATTCCGCTTCGGTTGTGGATAACGCAACACTGACTTGTTTCTTGCTAAACCATGAAACTAAAGAACTACCAAGTAAGTGGCAAGTCCCACTCGTACTTTTACGGTCCAATTTGCAACCGGCAAAGTCCTAGTCGGAGTAACCAACAAGAAGACACGAAGAGCCTTTAGGATACCACAGTCCAACGTTAACCGTGCCTACAAGGTATTTCATGATCCATTTCACCGCCGTTAAGTGCGATTCCTTCGGGCATGATTGATACCTTGCGCAAAGGCATACGCTAAACATGATATCCGGCCTACTAGCAGTAAGATAAAGAAGGGATCCGATCATACCTCGATACTTTTTTACTTCAACTTCCTTACCTTTTTCATCTTTGTCTAGGTGGTCGGACGTGCTCATCGGAGTTGCCATTGCTTTGGCGTTTTCCATTTCGAAACGTTTTAGGAGCTCCTTGCAGTATTTAGTTTGGCAAATAAATGTGCCATCTTTCATTTGCTTGACTTGGAGTCCCAAAAAGAATGTAAGCTCACCCATCATGGACATCTCAAATTC